TGTGTGTGTGTGTGTGTGTGTGTGTGTGTGTGTGTGTGTGTGTGTGTGTAGCCCCCCTCCCCCTCACAAACTCAGCTTGGGGCTTTTAACCAGTCAAAGGTTAACAGTTGCCCCATTATCCATTTGCACGCATCACCATAACAACCACTACACCTCCAAAATTGGGATTATTGTTTTGAAACAAAGCCAGAAAGAAACCAGAATAAAGATGTTTTTGATTGAGTTTGTGTTTGGCTGGACTGACACATTATAGTTAATGCACCTGGAAGTTAATGCCAAAACAATTACGCAKGAACGTTTAAGAGGATTTATGCTTCATCTCATGTTTGTTCTCAAATTAATTAAATATTGTTAGAAATAACCAGATAATTACAGTTCTATTACCTTTTTTGTCAATGTAAAACAGCAACAAATGCAAAAACACAACTCTGGATCAAGACCACACACAATAGAAGAACAAAATAAAACTTGTTAAAATGTAAAACATTTTATAAATGACAACAAAGTAAAAAAAAAATGACACAAACAGAACTTTTTTATCCAAAAATTAAAATAAAAAGCAAACACAATAGACAGTGAAAAACACAAATACAATTATTAAGAATTTTTATTGCAGCTTTTTTATTTGTTGAGGTTTTTTAACATAATAAAAAAGCAGCAATTTTTGGAAAAAAAGTTTTTCCAGTTCACATTTAAGCACCTTATTTGGGACATACAGGCTCTAACGGTGTGGGTTTATTACAACAACTCTGCTTGCTTCATGTTTTTCATTTACTTAGTGTCGCAACAACTCTGCTTCTTGTTAGTAAAACTCTAACCCTCAGTAACTCACCTAAATAAATGTTTTCCACCTGTAGAACAACATGGAAACATTATGTGGTTCTGATAAAGAATTTTCTCCCCCCCCGTTTGAGTTACTAATGAAGGGAGATGTTTGTATTTGTTTTAATAAGAGAATCCAAGCTTTGATAAAACTCCTGCACCCTAAATGACCGTTCGCTTTCCCCCCGTCTTCCTGTCTCTGAACACACACAGATGTGCACAAAGACACACACTGTGGATTCTTTCTGATGTCTCGCTGCAGCTGCGTGGCTCGCAGGCACGGCCGACATGAAGTGCTTGTTGAATTGTGGATTTCTCAACGGTGTGATCATCCAGGCATACATGCACGGAAGGGAAGGCCCAGCTCTTTTCTCCAGAGTCCTCCCTCCCTCTATCCCTCCCTCCCCTCTCCATTTTTTTTTCGAAAGAGCCGCATCTGCTGGCTACTGCTGTGACTCAGTTTATAACGGACAGCCCCATCTGGCTCCAGAACAGTTTGATGCATCCAGGGTTAAAAAAGAGTTTCTTCCATTTCATTGTGCAGACTCACAAAGTGGTTTTTGTTTGTATAATGCAAAAGGACTTTTCTTTTGTTTATTAGGGTTGCTTATGTATCAAAAATTAGCATTGGGCCTTGATTGTGGTGATTTTACTGGTATTTTCTTGCCTTTAAGTTCTCAAATGACGTCGAAAACAGTCTGTGTGTGTTTCCATGTCTCTGTGCTCTCATATAAATGACAACAACCACTTTACATCAAAAGCTTTCTGCAGGTAAAACATCATTAAGACACGTCACAATACACATTTATCYCCAATTAACAGCTCTGTAGGAGTCTTGGGTAACAGCTTGATTTTTATTACCCTTTAAGGCTTTAAAAGTTAAATAAACGCCAGGTCTTTGTGCATTTGTGACCCCAATGGTCTTCGCTGATAAAATCAAATTTGGGGAAAATAGGTGTGACGGTAACACAAAACATCATGGTYCAATGTGTTAAATGAAAATAGGAACACAAAAGATGAAGTAAAGTTTGGAGATGGGAGGAAGATATATGTTTAAAGAATTCTCGAAGTCGGCGTGATGGCATTCAGTCACGTGATTTCAACCTCCATCAGTTARAAACTGTGTCAAAAGAAGAYACTTCAAACTATACAGCAGTTTTTAAATTGTGTCGATACGTCAAGCGAGGAAAACCAGAGTTACGATAAATGGCATATCTTACTGTTTGTTTTCTGAAAATGAACGTTTTATTTTGAAGCGCGTTGCAGCTGAAGGGAGCAGGAAACTCTGTAATCTCGTGGAAAAAACACAGCTGTCCATCGTCAGTTTAAACCGAAAAACATATAACCCCCCAGGCCTTCTTTTAGAATGAGGCTCAAAATTATCTGACAAGCAGTAAAAAATGTACAGGAAGAAAAAAATAAAAAGAGGCAAAATTTGAATGGAGATTGGCGGCAATGATGATTTGGTGAGAGCAGGACTTTATTAATTAGATCTGTGACATTTAACATGTTTGGATTTTATAGTTAGTGTGTAGTTTTGAGTTTTTACTTTTCATTTTAGCCAGTTTTAATGTGTTTTAAAGCACAACAATGAGGCAATTCTTTTTAAACAAGGAGAAGCACGGAGGTGTGCAGAGGCAGAATGACGTGTCTTATTTCTTTCCCCTCGCTCTTGCAGTTAGAAAAAAAGTTACATTTTATCTCTGGATGTTGTTTTACTTGAGAAGTGCAGTCCTACAGCAACTTTTCACCATTTTTCCTGTTTTCCACATAGAGGAACTCATCCTATTTTCCCCCAAACCAATATGTCAGCCTCCCGTCTACAACGTGGTCACATGACAAAGTACCCGGCTGTTCGACTTTGAGAATTTCAAGACAAACCTCTGTGTTTAGTCTGCTTAGAGATGCTGTCTGCCATGAAGGATTTTCATATAAGTCGCCGCTACAACACGTTGCACAAAGCTAAATATGAGCAGTTTATTGAAGTTGCGATAAACAACAGCAACTTTTTACCAGAATCACAACCATGCAGGAGTCTGAATTTAAGAAGTCTTCTTGCACTTCAGCTTGCAAAGGTGTTTATTGTTTGTATGTACAACTGTCATGTATGCATTTGAGAAGGAAATATGTGGTCCTCTGGTAGTGTCAACAAAAAAATGCCGTCCCTTCCGTCATTTAAGTTGRCCATCCCTGAATTAATCACTCAAAGGAGGACAGTTCTACAGTAGTTTAAAATATGCACAGAAAGAAAAAGGAGATACATTAAAAATAAAAACGCACACTTTAACAACATCAACACATTTCAAGTTTTAGTTCTTTCAGTGAGGGAACGTGTCCTGCACATCACAACAGGAATTTATCCCCAAGCCTTGTCGTGTGTCATGGAACTCTGTCCCTTTTTAACAGTTACTACTAACTAGTCTGGACAGGCCCAGAACCTGTTAACTTCGTTTATTTTTTAAAAAATTTTTAAAGCTAGAGAAATTCTGTTATATATACATTTTCACTGCCAGT